AATTGAACCTAGATATTACAGGGCCTCATGGAGGGGGATACATAACCAAAACTGGGGAGTACGGAAATCAAAAGCAGTAAATAAACCCTAATTTAAAGCTATTACAAACCATCAGCAGTTACAATAAATTGGAAAAGAAAACAAAATGGAAACTGATAAACGCGCGAAGATCAAGACGGGAACAAGTTGAAAAAAACCTAAAAATCTAATTATTAAAAAAAACTATTTTTGGTATTTTATTGAGAAAAAAGATTTGAAGTTTTTAACCTAATTCTAATTAATTTTTAATTAATAAAATAATCAAGTTAAAGTAATTAAATTAATTAATTTACAAAAAATTTAATTTAATTATGAAAACCTAAGTCTACTTTTTTTGTGATTTATTATTATTATTATTATTAATTTTAAAAAAATGAATTTAAGAAATATAAAATAATTTAAACAAAAAATAAACAATGAAAAAAGAAAGGCAAAGGGCCTGCGGTTTATGGAGTAATTTGGGGGGTGAGGCGCTGAATTTGGCTAGGCCCAGATCAAATAAGCCCAAACGCCTGCATGAGATTCAATGTTTCTACGTCTGGAAGGTTCACCATGGGCTCTCAGATCTGGGATGTTAGATTTATTGCTGCGTAGATCTAATGGTGATCCCTTGATGACACATAGTGCGCGTGCCTGAACCTGGAGCATTGGATCTGAAACAAACTTACTAGAAAATGAAAAATATGAAATTTCAGGGTCGAACCCAGATCCTTCTTCTCGCACGCCTTATGCCTTTACCATCTCCGTTTCCTGCTTATTCATATATATAATAACACAAAAAATAATATAATATGAAAGTAGATCTATGTCTGAGTCAGCATAATACGCATGCCCTGTGGGGCCCTATATTTTAAATGGACGAATCATAGAATGTTATCCAGCCACGCCAACACAGGGAGGGTCAAACCACCCCTCACGGTGGTTGACCACCATCGTCTCCGGCGACCTCAAATCTCTAACCTGCGAAATAACATGATTCTGGACCAGAAATTGAACCTACCCCCCCCCCCCCTAAATCATAGGCTGCAAATTCTACCATGGGGTTAGTTTAATCTAAAACATCCTGCATCATTGAAATTGAAGCTTGCACTTAACTAAACCCTAGCAATGGTGATTTGTATTTCTGGCATTGTTGCTTATATGAAATACGTCATAAAATTCATAAGCTATGATAACAATATGGATATACAATCAAAAGGGATTTATATTAAGATTTAATTAAGTTTTGAGATCAAGAATTTTTACCAAAGTGAGAGGATCGGGTGAGGATGATTCTGGATGCTTTGGCCTTCAAGGATGGATGGGTTGACTTGCTGGGAATCTAAGGGACGTGGATAAATGGATGGAAATGCTTGAAACTGTCTGGAAAGGGATATCTCGAGGTGCACCACTTTTGACAATTTTTGAAAGTTTGCTAGGGTTATTTGGATGTAGCTGCGCTCTCCCATGGATTGGCCTCTTGTTGTGCATATATAGTGAATCATATTAGGTCAACAAATATGGCCTAAATAAAATGAAATCAATATCCTTTATTTTGCTTCCAAACTTTCCTATTTTTGAATATTTTTTCCTTTCATGGCTTGCACGATTTCCCTTGATATAATCAGCATATATTGTCCATTATTTAATAGAAAAATGATTTCAAATCAATCTTATATTATTTCCATTATTTATTTATTTAATTTTGAATTTTGATGAATAAAATATCAAAATAAATAGCATAAATAATAGAATAATACATGGGTGGGCTTAGAGGTCGTGGACCATGTTGGAAATAAGTTCAGATCATAGAAACCAAGGCCCATTTGAAAGAAATCCAAGATTGATCAATATTCTCTTCATACATTTCTTCAAAATTGATCAATTTTAGTAATGCATATCTCTCCCAATTTTAACCCTATGAGGGTGTTCTTGGACTTTTTAAAGAGCTTAGGTTATCCTCTAAACAACCCTTTTGGTTTCATATCAATTGAATTTTACATGTTCATGTACCAAGCTTTGACCCAAAAGGTGTTTTTGTTGACTTTTTGAAATGACCCATAATGTCTGAGCTTGTATCTTTCAATTGGTGCATTCTTGAACTTGAGGGCTGAAGAGAAGTTGTAGGGAATTATATTTTCTTCAAAATGAGCCTTGGTGGAAAAAAGTTTGATAAGGTATGAGCAAGTTATGCCTGGTCATAGTTTGGTTGACTTTTCCTATAGAAACCCTAATTAGCAATTTTTGACTTTTGATGAATTAGGAGAATTTCTTGAGGAATCATGATCAACCCTTGATCAAATGATGGATATCACTTCAAAATGTTTATGTTGACCAAAAATCTTAAAGTTCGACTGTATATAGGCCATAGTTGACTTTTGACCTAGCATAGTTGATTTTCAGGCACTTGAGCAATTGACTGAGCAAACTTGTTGTGAAAAGCATGAAATTTGGCATGGACTATCTTGAAGACATATTAGGACCATGGAAAACACTTGAGACCTTTGAATCTCACACATCTTTGATGAAAATTGAAACCCTAGTTAGAGGTTCATTGCCTTAGGAGGAGAATTTGTCTGGTCAATTCTTAGTCATCCTTGAGCAATTTGAGGACCTCATTGGGAATGCCTTGAGTAAAATGAGAGGGAAAATTTTGGGGTACAACAGATGCCCCTGTTCAATATTCTTAGACCTGAGGATGTAGATTGGCTTGTCTACCTTTCGTGATTTAAAGTTGGAAGATGATTGAACACTAGCATGCCCAAAAATTTATATTCGCCCGAAGTAACACTGTTTTGAGGTACAACATGTGTGTTTAAACTATGCCTACTGTTTACTACTGAGGAGGAATGCATGCAAAAGAAAGGAGTAAAGAATGTAGGGAAAATAAAGTTGTACTCGCTTGGGCCCTACCCCAATGCCTACATATCCTTTTTGAGGAATCAGAGTTACCGTAGTTCGGATCACATGTTTTTGTTTGTTTGTGTTTTTTATGGACAATGTTAATTCCGCCTTCTACTGCAGCTCGACGTTTGGAGACTTACGCATTGGCACAGAAGTAAATTAATCATGTCCTTACTGAAAAAGGTTTTAGAGAAAAGGTGCTTGAGCGCACATAAAAATGTTGAGTTGGTTTGTATTTTGTTACCTTGAAAAAGGGTTTAAGTAAGATTAGCATGTTTTTGATTTGCTAAGAAAAAGAGTTTTAGTTTTAAATACAAGGATGCAAAAAGGGAAGAAAAGAGTCTAAGGGAGACTAGCCTATTTCTAAACCTAATGTTATCATACAATAGTAGTCCTAAGGTTTGGATTAACAAAAAGGGAAACGTCTATCTAATGTTAGCATGCATGGTTTGCAACCTAAGGTCTAACTTGCATCCAAAAGGAGCGAGCACATCCTAATGGAATATGGTATGTACAAAGATAAAACAAGAAAGCTCGAAAGAGCATACATATAAAAGAGTAAGGAAAAGAAACGAAATGCTTTAGCCAAAGGGAGCGTATCACCCGAGACAAACAAGCGGGAGTGAGATGAAAAAACAAAAATGTGATGTCCAAAGCGACTGAATACCTAACCAATATATAGGAGATCGAGGTAGGTGACAGAAGGAAATATGAATGATCACGGAGTATCAACATCGGCCAATGTGAACTCCTGACAAAGCGCAGGGGTTCGATTGCGGAACCCTTCCCCACTTGACGACTCGATAACAAGAGCAGGCACAACTCCGAAGCTTTGTGGTGTGTCACGAGTTAAGGATAACACAGACGAAATTGAGGGGGTTGATTACTAACCCTCCCCACTCGCCTTCTTTTAAGGACTTATCATCTGTACATATGCGGGCACAAATATAAACATACCTGTAGAATACCTACTCAAAGGCAGGGTTTTAAATAAACCACACACATGTAACATACAATGGCAAACAATACGGAATTGCCCTAAACGGGTCTTTAAATGAACCAGAGGGGTTCTTGACATGATCACCAACGGAGGTCCCCATCATACATCTCTACCCTACTTTTCATGGGATCAGAAAGCAGTAAAGCCCTACTTCTCATGATGTCTAGAAAAGCAGTAAAGAAATGTAGTAAAGTGGGAAGATGAGGAATAAATGAAGTTGAGATGATACCGAACAGAGAAGGTCTATTGCCTCTTCAAAACCACACGAGTGATAAGAAAACCCTACATAAGCTGCTTAGCACAAATGATCAAAGGATTAATCTCCAATCATCACATATCATAGAAGATTTGCCTCAATACTGTCATAAAGTCTTAGCTAAAAGTGACAATGAAAATGATTATTAAACATAGAATAATAGAAAACTCTAATGAAATTCCAAAGAGAAAATCTAAAAAATTCTAAAATATTCTATTATTTTTGTACCTTTTTTTTTAATGTGAAACAATTACTACCAAAAGAAAAAAATTTGGTAAGAACCATTAGTAAAAGGTAAACAAGACATTAAAACAGAGGGAGGTGTGAAGTCTGGTTCAAGTATGCTGCCAGAAAAAATGCAAGGCCCATCCAGGTCAAATCCATCATGGACTTTTTTGCACAAACTTCTGCCTTCTCCAAAAAGCCGCAATGGGCTTATGAAGTGTTACAGCCCAGATCCACCACCAACTATTTTCAGATTTTTTTGTCACAAAATACAATATGAAAAATAAAAAATAAAATAGGAATAATCAAATAAAATTGGAAGAGGATTAGCTTTTGGCGTCATGTGGCTGTGAAAGAACTTCTTCTCCGATTGAAGCCAAAAATCACCGCCGATTCAGTTCCGATCAGAGCTCACACCGCCATCTCAAACTTGCTCTCTTCTCACCTCCATCGAGCTCGATCTCTATCTCTTCCTCCAACTACCGCTGTTACCACATCACGACTGCCTTTGTCTCAATTCGATTCGTGATTCGAACTCAGGTGAGCACCATAACTTTCTTGTTCGTTCTTCATTTTTATTCTATTTTTTCATTCTCTATGAGTGTGATTGTTGATTCTGATGCAGAGAATTCAAAGTCGTGCTATTGTGTATGTTGTTGCGCGTTTGCGGTTGAAGATCGACATTATGGCATTGATGCAGAAAGATGTTGTGATTTAGTTGTTGACGCAGGAAGAATTGAAGAGTGACGATTTTTGCAGTTGAAGTTCAGAGAGTTTATTGAAGATGAAGGGAACATAGAGAAATTGTTGCTTGATGATGGTGATTGGGGATGTTGAGGAAGGCTAAAGCTGCAAGGAAGGCTCCGAGAAGATGTCAAGATGATGAAGGATTTGAAGAGGTATTGTAGAGAGAAAGAGTCGAAAGGTGAGTATTATGAAATTTTTCTATCACTTTTCTCTCTTTTGAATCCATCATGAATTCCTTCTTCTTTTTTCTTTCTGTGTGGGATCTGGTGTATATTACGGTGCCGTTGTTGCGATGGTCTTTACAGAAGCTGAACAAAGATTGAAGCTCGAAGGTGATGATGCAGATTGTGACATGTATGCTCGTGTTGTGCAGATTCATTGGTGAAGATGGCAAATGATTGAAGGCGTCTTGAAGCTTCAAGAAGATGTAGAAGAAGATGATATTTGAAGAACATGAAGAAAAATGATGAAGGATCTGTAGAGGAGTTTGCAGAGGATAACTTATAGGTGATTTCTTGATATTCTTCTCTCTGAATTTCTATTATGAATTGTATAGAATAGATAAATATTGGTATCTAGAGTTTTTTCTGTGTATATGAATTGTGAGTTTCCCCTTGAAATCGTGAATGATTCCTCTGCTATATAGTACCATTAGCTTACCAAAGTTGGTTAGAGATATTAGGAAGTTAGGAATGGTTTTTGAAACTGTTAGCATTTTGATAGTTAGTTATGGTTCGAACTAGTTAGGAAATTCTATTGGGAGTTTTCTGTTATGGACAGTTATGGAATTGGTTAGGCAGTTAGGATGTGGTTAGGGGCTTAGAATTCTGTTTTGAAATTCTGTTATGCTGTTTTTTCTGTTAAACAGTTAGAAGATTAGAGATCTATTAGGAAGTTAGTTGGGGTGGAGGTTAGTTACTGTTAATAGTCAGTTTGTTATTGGTTTTTGATTTCTGTTTGAATGAGCTGGCAGGTTTAGATTAGTGAGAGTCAGGATGAATCACAGTTAGGCTCGGATTAGGACTTAGCTTCAACTGAATACTCATAAATGAGTTCAAGAGGGAATGTTTGAACCAACTGCTTCTTGTTTTATTCTTTGTCTAACTAAAAATGGATAGTAGTGTAGTAGTCTAAACCAGTTCAGTATTTAAACACTTTATCTTCTGACTGTATGGATTGGTTAATTGATTTGGAATGATATCATGAACTGGCATTTGATGGGATCTGAATAGGCTTATTGGTTTGATGTAGAGCCACAAATTCATGATTATTAAACTGCTTTGATTGTTTGCATCTGTTTCTGTTATTAGTGGACTTATTATGAATTTTCAATTGGATTTTTGGTTTGCAGGGCTGCGGGTTTATGTTTATATGCAAGGTCTGGTTTTTGTAATGAGCAACATGAAGCATGGTGTAAAGCTGGAATAGTTGAAGAGAAATGGTGCTTCAAGACTTAAAATCTTAGCAAGACAAGGCATATGCATAAACTTGTAACGATTTTGTAAAGTATTCGATGTAATCTTCTTTTCCAAATTGATCCTTATGCCTCTAAGTTCTTTGTAAGGACTATATTTTTTGTATTTCTTGTACGAATGATAACTATGAATATGATTGGTATCAAATTTGAATAATGAAGAAAACTTTGTATTGAAGCCTTTGCATGGATAAATCTTTGTACGAAACATGGTGAAAACCTTGGAACCAAGCTTGTATACCTTTCATATATCCACACTAATTGAATCCAAATTGAGCAGTCATGTTCCATGCTTGCACTTTTTAAGAACGCTAATTCAAGTTTGAATTTCCAATTCACGATGCCTTGCCTTTGATGCACCATTTAATTGAATAAAACCCTAATTGATTAAGGACATATAAGTGAAACCTTGATCCATAGCTCAAACTTTAAGATGCTTACTTGTTTGATAAACACTCAATGCATCAAACCCTGGTCTTGAATTGTAAGGCAAGTAATTAGGAGAGGTCTTCAAATGAAATCCAAGCATGATGTATTGAAGCAAAATTGATCAGGGTAACCATATAATCAACCGTAGTCTAATGAACCTCAATTGAAGCATAATAGATGAAAACCTCTGATCTTAATTCCATAATTCACTACTTGTAGAAAGAATGAAACGAATCAACTTTATTGGATGAAACCTTAAATCATTTGGAACCTTAATTTGCAATATCATTGATCCCATGCTAAGTTACTAATCAATGATGCATGATGTGTAAAATGGCCTAATAGAAATTATATACACAAGGAAAGTGCGAGATGCATAAGCCAGATAAAAGTGAGAGGGTAGGAAAAATTTGGGGTATTACAACTGCCCCTATTTAATGGTCTTAAACCTAAAAGTATGATTGGCACGTGCCTTTCAGAAGTTCGAGGTAGAAGATGATTAAATACCAATGCCAAAAATTTGTTCTGAAAGAAAGTATGCGTGCTTATTTTTTTATGATATTTACTAGGGAAAGAATTTTTATGTTTTCTAGTGAAGAGAAGGAGATTGGAATCGTAATGTAGCAATGGTGCCAAAACGGGGTTTAGAAATCGATATGAGGAATACTTGAAAACTGACACAATGAGTGTTTAGAAGTCGACGATGACGAGTGTTTAGAAGATGACACGATGAGTGTTTAGAAGCTGACACAATGAGTGTAGGAAGTTAGCATGATGTAAATACAAGGACAGATAAGAATTGTAACATGGAGTGATGCCAATACAAGGAAGATATCTGACTTGTAAGGTAGCATGATGCCAATACAAGAAAGATCAGACCTGTAACGTAGTGTGATGCCAATACAAGGAAGATCAGACTTATGACGTAGCGTGATGCCAATACAAGGAAGAGATCGAACTTGTAACATAGCATGATGCCAATACAAGGAAGAGATCAAACTTGTAATGCAGCATGATGACAATACAAGGAAGAAATTAGACTTGTAACGTAGCATGATGCCAATACAAGACAAAGATCGGACTTGTAACATAGTATGATGCCAATACAAGGAAGATCAGACTTGTAATGTAGCGTGATGCCAATACAAGGAATAAATCAGACTTGTAACATAGTGTGATGCCAATACAAGGAAGAGATCAGACTTGTAACATAACGTGATGCCAATATAAAGGAGAGATCGGACTTGTAACGTAGCATGATGCCAATACAAGGAAAGTCGGACTTGTAACATAGTGTGATGCCAATACAAGGAAGAGATCTGACTTTTAACGTAGCATGATACCAATACAAGGAAGATCTGACTTGTAACATAGCGTGATGACAATACAAGGGAGAGATCATACTTGTAACTTAGCATGATGCTAATACAAGGAAGGTATAACATTGACGAGTGTCTAAATCGATACGGACGAGTATCGAAAGAAGATACTGACGAGTATCAAGAAAATGTTAAACACAGACGAGTGTTTGAATCAATACGGACAGGTATTGTAAGAAGATACAAACAAGTATCATGGAAAGGTTAAACATGTACGAGTATTTGAATCAATACGGACGGGTATTAAAAGAAGATACGAACGAGTATCAAGGGAAGGTTAAACATGGACGAGTGTTTGAATCAATATGGATGGGTATTGAAAGAAGATACAGATGAGTATCAAGGAAGAGATAATACTGATGAGTGTTGGAATCAATACAGACGAGTGTTGAAAGAAGATATGAATAGGTATCAAGGAAAGTTTAAACACAAATGAGTGTTTGAATCAATACAGACGAGTATTGAAAGAAGATACGGACGAGTATCAAGAAAAGTTTAAACACAGACGAGTGTTTGAATCAATACGAACGGGTATTGAAAGAAGATATAGACGAGTATCAAGGAAAGGTTAAACACGGATGAGTGTTTGAATCAATACGGATGGGTATTAAAAGAAGATACAAACGAGTATCAAGGAAAGGTTAAACACGGATGAGTGTTTGAATCAATACGGACAGGTATTGAAAGAAGATACGAACGAGTACCAAGGAAAGGTTAAACATGGATGAGTGTTTGAATCAATACGGGCGGGTATTGAAAGAAGATACAGACGAGTATCAAGGAAAATTTAAACACGGGCGAGTGTTTGAATTAATACGAATGGGTATTGAAAGAAGATACAGACGAGTATCATGGAAAGGTTAAACACAGATGAGTGTTTGAATCAATACAGACGGGTATTGAAAGAAGATACAGACGAGTATCAAGGAAAGGTTAAACACGGACGAATGTTTGAATCAATACGGACGAGTATTGAAAGAAGATACGGACGAGTATCAAGGAAAGGTTAAACACGAACGAGTGTTTGAATCAATACGGACGGGTATTGAAAGAATATACATACGAGTATCAAGGAAGAGATAATACTAATGAGTGTTGGAATCAATACGAACGAGTATTGAAAGAAGATATGAATGGGTATCAAGGAAAGTTTAAACACGAACGAGTGTTTAAATCAATACGGACGAGTATTAAAATAAGATAAGGACGAGTATCAAGAAATTTTAAACATGGACGAGTGTTTGAATCAATATGGACGAGTATTGAAATAAGATACAGACGAGTATCAAGGAAAGGTTAAACACAGACGAGTGTTTGAATCAATATGGACGGGTATTGAAAGAAGATAAGGACGAGTATCAAGGAAAGGTTAAACACGAACGAGTGTTTGAATCGATACAGACATGTATTGAAAGAATACAAATGAGTATCAAAGAAAGGTTAAACATAGATGAGTGTTTGAATCAATACGGAAGGGTATTGAAAGAAGATACAGACGAGTATCAAGAAAAGTTTAAACACAAAATAGTGTTTGAATCAATACGGACGGGTATTGAAAGAAAATACGGACGAGTATCAAGGAAAGTTTAAACACGGACGAGTGTTTGAATCAATACGGACGGGTATTGAAAGAAGATACGGACGAGTATCAAGGAAGAGATAAAACGAACGAGTATCAAGGAAGAGATAAAACGGACGAGTGTTGGAATCAATACAGACGGGTATTGAAAGAAGATACAAACGGGTATCAAGGAAAGTTTAAACACGAGCGAGTGTTTGAATCAATAGGGACGAGTATTGAAATAAGATATGAACAAGTATCAAGGAAATATTTAACACGAATGAGTGTTTGAATCAATACAGACGGGTATTGAAAGAAGATACAGACGAGTATAAGGGAAAGGTTAAACACTAAGGAGTGTTTGAATTAATACAAACGGGTATTGAAAGAAGATACAGATGAGTATCAAGGAAAGATTAAACACGGACGAGTGTTTGAATCAATTGACACAAACAAGTGTTTGGAAGTTGACACAAGTGAGTGCCTGGAGAGCTAACACAGACGAGTGTTGGAATATGAATTAATTGTCAGACGGGAACTGACTACCAGACAAGAACTGGGATTAGAATTGATTGTCAGATGGGAACTGACTTCCAGACGGGAACTGGGTTTAGAATTGATCATTAGACAGGAGCTGAATACCAAACGGAGACTGGGTTTAAAATTGCAAGGTGTATTGATTTTGTTAGGAATTCATGGGTATAAGGTACTGGCACCGTTAGCTAGGCTTTGTGAAGGTAAATGTCATCAACTGGGGCTTGGCAGCGATATCCTCTTGTAGGGATGTATTATTGTTTTTGAGATGTTCAGGTCTTTCGTGTAAGGTACCTGACCTGGCTTATGCTTCGTATGCATGTTTGAATTTCTTTTGCCACAAAGATCCATTCTGATGGATCGAATACGCGCTTTTGAGGATGCAATGTTATGCAGTTATAAATATATGCAAATGCAAAGAAATATAATTCATGAGGGTAAGCGAAGGCTCATTGGGAGTCGTTGTTCTTCACTGGGGGATGCCAATACACATCAACGCTAGAAACCTGTGGTTCTAAAGATTGTTGGGGATACTGGTAAGAATTCGCACTGGGGAGTTCATGATACCGAAGATCATTGGTGACTCCGCTAGAGATTGATTTGCTGATGAAGCGAGTCTTCAAGTACCCCACTGAATTCTGAATCACACTGTTGGGGAAGGGATAATATGGCCCGACTTCCCTACATCCTGAACAGTTGAGAGGATGGTACAACTAAATATTCCGAAGAATGGTTATTGAATACCATGTGGATCTCTTCGAATATACGCCCCAAGTTTACGCCACCTGTGTGTGCCTCGGTTTAACTATGTGAATGCCTTGGTTTACTCCACTGGGGATGCCCTGTTTTACTCTGTGGATTCCCCAATTAAGCTCTTGGTGGACGTGCACATGCGCGTGCCAAGTCAAACAGAGACTCTGGACTTTCTGAATTCACTTGGGGAATCTAGTTTGAAATTATCTGCAGTAGATGAAGGAGGCTTCATGCGCTGGTTGGGTCATAGTGACTGTTATGATGCTTCTAGCTTGGTTGTGGTCGTCTCGTACAACATAATTGGCTTGAACAACTTTGCGGGTACGG